GTGGGCTCTTAATTGGCCTTGTGACGGGTGGTTAGCTACCTGGACAGAATGTTAGTTAGAGGAGCCAATGTAGACAGAACTGAGAAGGTGAGGATGCTTAGGGCTAGTTTTTCCCAAGTGGTGGCTGGAGGGATCCCCTAGAGATAGCCTTAGCTAGGGAGGCCCTGGAGCATTTGACTAGCAAGCACTACATGGGTCAGGTAACTAGACATAGGTTAAGAAAGATGTCTTCAGAAGCAGTGAACATAAATGCAGAATTGCACAAGGAAGAGATTTGTCGGGGTTCTGATTGTTACATTTGTGAAGTCAAAAACCCAGAGGGGTACACACTTCAGGCCACTGACTACATCTGTGAGGCATTTCGGTGGCATTTCAAGAACTGGTTTACCAAGGAGCCTGGTCTCCATGAGGAGGAGTTTTGCAGCTATTTGGCTGACTTTCCTCGGCTTTCACCGACTGAAGCGGCTAGCTGTGAGGGAGAGATCACAGACAGCAAAGTCTACGTGGCATTGAAGAAGGTCAGCAGAGGCAAGTTTCCCATTCTGGATGGTTTGCCCTATGAATTGTACTTGAAGCTGTCACACATCTTTGACTGTCCTGTTCAATAACTGGTTCCAGCAGGGGTCCATCCTTGACCGGTTTTTCATGGGCATGATCATGCTGTTGAAAAAGGGCAAGGATGTTTGGGGGCAATTAGATGATTATAGACCCATAACTCTGCTAAACACAGATTTTGGCCAAGATCCAGGAGGAGTGTTTGCAGTCAGTTGCCGAGGCTCTGTTGGGTCTGGAGCAGACTTGTTCTGTGAGGGTCCAAACAATTCAGAGCAACCTGCATCTGATCTGCAAGATCATAGAGGGTGATCAATTTAGATCAGTTCAAGGCATTTGATAGGGTTGACCATTGCTACCTTTTGGCTGTCCCATAGGCCACCAGATTCGCACCCGACTTCTGCCACTAGATTAGCCTCCTATATTGCTCCCCAATGCTGTGATACACGTGAACGAGAAAATGTCAGGCACTTTTGCACTAAGTCAGTTTGTCAGGGTTGTCCACTGTTGCCCCTACTTTATGCTTTGGTGTTGGAGCCTTTCCTTTTGCTGGCTGAGGTGCAGGGTGTGCAGGCCAGCCCTACACAGAACCGCTGTTCCTGGAGGGGCTTGAGCCAGGATTTCCACATACGCCAATGACGTATCTACTTTCGTGTTGTCCCACAGCAATATTGACATGGTACTGAAGGTGTCTGATCAGTAAGAAAAGCTGACAGGGACCAAGATTAACTGCGACAAGTTGTCCGGCTTGCAGTTAGGTGTCAATCTTCCGGGGCCCTTCAGTTGGACAGACGGTCCTGTTCGCAATCTTGGAGTGTGGTTTGGACCTGACCTCCAGCTGGAGAAAAATTGGTCTGAAGTATGAGCAAAGGTCGATGTGGCCAATCTGACTTGGCATCGACAGAGGTTGTCTGCAAAGGGCATGGCGGAAGCATGTGCCACTTACGTTTTCCTGATTGTCCTTTATCAATTGTCCATACTTCCTCTCTGTAAAGATCATAGGAAGCTGCTTGAGTGCTCACTATCTTCCATTTTGTGGAGGGGACGCAAGCATCAGATTGACAGAGGAGTCTGTGCACAATATCCATGTCATGGGGGGAGGGGGGTTCTGGGAATGCCACACTTGGTGAGCCACAAATTTGCCACGAGGTTGGCTTTCTTATGCCATGCATTGATGGGAGATTCAATTATGGCGAGGATTGTTAGGGATGTGTTCCCTTTCCTTACCATCAGTCCCCCCATCTCACAGGTTGAATGCCATCGTAAACCCAGGGATCAATCGGATTTCCTTCGTGTCGGTACACCTTGACAATCATTCCTCAGTGCAGTGACCTTTCACGGCCTAGGAGGGTCTTTATTGTTATTTAGTGGAGGGGGTCATGAAGGATCCTCTACGTAAGCGGCTCACCTTGTCGGAGGAGGAGTTTTGCTCTTTCTGGTCTTGGCCAGATTATCTCAGTAACCCTGAGTTTTCGCTTACCTGGTAATTGGCTAAGAATTGGCTGCCTCCATCTGTGGCTTGGTGAATTTGCCAGACTGTGAATGGTGTGACCTTGGTTTAGAAGAAACGGCTTTGCCCACCTACCATTGTCCCTGGGTCCACCCCTTATGGGACCATGTCGGCAAGTTGATGGCTTGTCTTGCTCCCAAAAAGCTCATGCTCATTGATCGCATATACGCATGTGACAATGTGTCACCCCCGTATTCCAGGGTGAAACGAATGGTTTCTGATGCTGCTGAACACAGCCCGAATGATGGTTTAGACAACACAACAGAAGGAAGTCTTGCAGGGCAACCGTCTTTCTCATCAGGATCTAATCCAATTTTTTGAGCATCAGCTCAGGATGAAGATTAGAACTGATAGAAAAAGCTTGCATTCAACAATCTTCAATGAAATGTGGGTGACTTGATTCATTTGAACAGAGCTAGCCTTGACTTTCTCTTTTAGGTCAACCTATGTTAGATAAGGTTGGTTTCCTGTGGAGCCCTCCCCTTGGTTAGGTTAGACAAGCTTTGTGTACCTAGTTAATATGAGTAAATGTTGTTCCTGGCCTGTTCCCGGCTGTATGTCGAGATTCCCAACTGCCCCAGTTTGTTTTGGCCCCTCTTTTTTTTCTTTTTTTTTTATCTCGACTAGTCAGCTTTTATATTTCCCATGCCCATATATATTTTCACCTTCACCGATTAGATTTTTAAACAATTTATTATCATTAAATTTTTATGGCATGGGGAATGTTTTGTAGATTCCCCCTGAGAGAATGCGGTATTATGGTGTCTGGAGGATTGATTGGTGACAGACGAGTTTTTATGGTGAATGTGAAAATTATAAAGAGTGAATGGGTCATGAATCAGATTAGCTAGGTATAAAATAGTTAGTGATGACCAACCTCAATCCCTCCCCTTTTTCAGCCTTGTGCCGCAATTACGTATTTTTACATAATACAGGAGCATTAAACGCAGTGCTAACCTACTGTTCGGACGTACACCACTATCTACTTATTACTAACCCTCTTGCTTTCTATATATCTTCAATATACTTTTTCAACATACCTTCATCTTCCATGTCTTTCTTTCTGCCCCCTAAACAGGCCACAACTGTTTCAACGAACTTTTTTTTTTATTCACTCAAGATAATTGTTCCTTTTCTCTTGTTTTTATGGAATTGCTTTCAAGAACTCCAAGGTTTTTCTTGTAATCATTAATTATTCTCTTATTTTGAAATTTAATTTCTTGTTGTGGGTTTTGTTTTGTGCCTCACTAATAGTTTATATTTTTCTATGCTTAACTTCGTACTGATGAAACTGTTAAAACGTTTGTTTTAATCACCACATCTTGCAGGTTCATTTTCATTTTCTTTGTAAAGAATTTGAAATTATCCCCATACGTTGGGTTTTTATCCTTCCATATTCATAAATGATATCCTTCTTGACATCATCTAAAAATATGATTCAATCATAACATGATTATGCCAATAGCAGAAAAGACAGAGCATCACCAAGAAAGTTTCCACTTCTGATACTTAGCTTAGCCAAGGACTCAGTGGTCAGTTCCATTCTCCAGTTCTTCATAGAATGTGTGTGTGTGTGTGTGTGTGTGTGTGTGTATGTTGTTTACTCGTTCCCCCATGAGGACAAGATGTGAAACAAGGTCTTTTTAAAGTGGGGACCGAAACATGTACACCTGGGTAAGGTACAAAAATTCCCCACAGCCCCTGCAACCATCGTTTGTGCTGGCCTCGGTGCGAGCACCAATCCCTCCCTCTTATGCAATGGGAGGGCGCGGCCTCAGGCAGCTGTTCCCCAGAGCTGGGCACCTCTCAGTATTATTTTCTCAGTTGCCCCTCTATCCTTTGAGAGAGAAGCCCCTGAGTGCACTCTGCCGAAAGACAGAGACGCAACTGAGAGATGATAAGTCTGCGTCAAAAATCCCTCCATATTGAAATTTACTGAGATTTGCTTACATTACTACAGCACAAAACTACAAGAGTGGTGTATCCAGTGATAACTAATACGATACCAAAATCTAGAAGCACATTCCAAAATCTACAGAGGGTTCTCGACTTATGTTGGAAATCCAATCCTACGGCGTGATGTAACCTGATTTTCAATGTATTTTGGAACTCACCTACATAAGCATCCATGAGTCTGCCATATGCTTGAGAGTCATAATGAAGGGCAAAAAGTTAAAAAAAAGAAAGAAAAATGGCACAAGCAAGAGATAGTGAACATAACATAATCCAACATGGCATACAGCTAGTGAAGAAACAATGTCATCTTCTTATATAGCACTGTATGATGATGTATTATATTATGGGAGATGGTGCTGTAACTCCGAAATGTTGTACACCAGGTCCAGTGTAACCCAAGGACCTTCTGTATTAAGAAATAGAAAGAATCTTTCAGAAACAATGATACGAGTGCTTGCCTGTTATGTAGCTCCAATTCAGCAATAATACAGTGAACTTCTTCATAAATGAAGAGGAAATATGAGACAGCAGAGATTTTATTGGATGTTAAAAATAACATGGACAGAGCATGTAAACAATGGAAGTTTTAAGGAAAATGGAAACAAAAAGGACATTTAAACTTAGAATGTGACAGCTGAAATTTCTCTGACATCCAATGAGGAAAGAGAGCAAAGAGAATTGGACACACACAGGATATGTCAAAGGCAAGAGGGTTTGATTGATTGATTTAATTTTTATGGCTTGCCAACATTTTTAAGGTTAGTTAAATCTGAAACATATTTTTGAAGTTTAAAAATTTATAATAATGATTTTCCAAAACAAGTCCTAATATTTGACCCATAACTGAGAAGAAAAGAATTGAATTCATTCTTTTCCCAAGGGTATTTGCATGTGAGAGAATATAATGAACCTAACTGGAATTCAAACTTGGCTCTCAGATTTCTCATTCCAAGCTGTTATTCATTACAACACCCACATATAACTGGTATTCCCAAGTGGTCACCCATCTAGGTATTGACCAGGTTCAGCATTGCTTAACTTTGGAAATTGGATGAGAACCAATGTTTCAATGTGATATGACCGTAAGCCCAAAAGCAAGACGAATAGGAAGGGATAGTAAAAAGATGAACACTGCTATGAGCTACAAAGGATAAGAAGTTGCGGCAAGCCATGACTGCATATGTCCTGTGTTGATACAGCACATAGAAGATAAGACTAATTTGAGAAGTAATATTGCACAATGATATTAACACTTTATATTTGCTAAGGTTAGATTAATCTGACACAAGGCCAAAAGTGTGGACTTCCCAGCAAGGTATACTTCAATAGTAATGGTCAGCAAAGTGAGCTTACTGTTCTGATTTGATTAGTTTTCATTTTCCAATTTTTTAATACATATTTAAACTTGGCATTTTTGTCATTTACACATGTACATGGCAAATACTATTGAGGTCTGGTGCCATGGATTCCTTGGACAGTCAATTGTTTCCTTCCTTTTGAAGGTGGGCATCGCTGGTCCTCACTTCACATCATCTCCAGACCACAGCTTAACATTCATCAAGTTGTATCTGGTCAAGATCCAAAATAAATAAAGTTAATTAAAACCATGCTTGCAACACACTGCTACTTTTAACATGAAACATCTGTTTACCTTCCATTCTAAATCATTGATATTAGTTGCTATGAGCACGTTGTGTTTTGTTTAACGATCAAAAGCAAATGCTTTTAACAAAACATTGAAAATCTGACTTGCAGTTGCATAAAAATTGCAGAGACTGGCACATCTACAAAAGACAATGCCCTGTCCAGTGACGCCAAGGGTGGCAGTACTACCTTAGCCACGGAAACTGTGTTACCTTCCCTGGTTGGTGGTTGACAAGGGCAGGATATCAGTTTACATGTTGTATGTAGAAAATTAATGAACAATTAATATGTTCAGTGTATTGTTTTGCAAATGGTCTCTTTTGTATTCATATAATTTTTTCATGAAATTCCTCAGTGTTTCAGCAATGTATTTTTTGTGGTTTTTATTATAATCTATAACATAAATTTATGTTTTAAGTTGTTACTATTTTGTTCTGTATTAATTAAGTCACTTATTGTTTTAGATGTAATTGTAACAAATTTTATATTAAGTTTAAATAAATTCTTTTCAATTCTCGTTGTGATAGAGTTGCTAGGTAGTATAACTGTCTAGTTTTATTAAGTTTATTCATATTCTTCACTCTCTTACTTTTATAAATTTGATAAGCTTTGCACTTCACATTAAATATAAAATAATCCGGACATTAGAGAAGCTTAAATGTATATTTAATATAGGTCTCCTCATCATGTAAATATTGAGAGCTACAAATACTAAGGGCTCTTCAATAGAATCCTATGATTATTTCAGATTTTATCTTGTTATGGTGTGAATAGAAATTCTTATCAAAATTTAAATCAAATGTAAATATTTTTTCAGTGAGGAAGATGCATTATATAAAGTAGGTTCACCAGTCCAAAAATTAAAAGGAAATATTTTTTAGGCCTCTAATACATTGTCAGGCTAAAGCCAAAACCAAATAAGTACAAATGAATCCATGCAAAATCTGTAATATTCAAGTCATGCAAATATTGAAAGCTCATTCTTCTTGACTTGGCTGTGATACAAAGGATAAAATTTACTTGCTAGCATTTTTCCCCCCAGTATAAACAAGTTTTCCAGACCAAATTCTGATGCCAAGCAGGAAAAGAAACATAAATGATTTTCAATATACACACAGTATCATCCATCATAAATTGTTTTTTTGTTTACAGACATGTCCGTACATGAATAAAATAGTTGTCAGGGTATTTGTCATGTCTTCAGCCATTTTGGTGCTTGCAATGCATAAGATTCTTTTCAATCTTTTAAAATTACAGTTTAGCTTCTATGTGACATGTACACCTACAAGTATACATTTAATACACTATGCAAATGTGCATATATTATAAGCTTGATTTTTTTTTTAAACTGTTATTATTTAATCCTTGTCTTGGATTCTGAAAATTCTATAATTTCAAGATTTCCCACCTAAATTGAAAATTGAAGCCATAGTAATGCTTTCCGCTATCTGACATCACATTCTTAGAATAACTATTCTGGGTTATTGGAAATATTCTTCATTCTTATATCGTCAAAAAACAAAAAAGAAATTACTTGCATTGATGTATTTTAATTTTGAAAGTAGAAAGTATATAAGTAATAGGAAAAACACATTGTTAATATAAGCACAAACACAAGATTGCTATATATTGAGCTGGTCAAAATATTTATCCAGTTTATCAAGCCTTAGCACTCTACTTTCTTCACAGTTATTATTTCCCCTTCCACTGCATTCTTTTTCAAAGGTCTTCAAATGCAGTCATTCTGTTAGCAATTTTAGTCAAGATCATTTCCTGTTGCCATAGCAGGACATGACAGCACAACTTAAAAATTCAAACATACTATCATTTGGCCATCAGAGTTGACTGCAAAGACAGGAAAAACTTTTTGCCCAGCAAACACAGTCACAGAGTGCTTAAGATTAGGTGAACATAAAAAATATTTCAACATTAAATTTATTGAACAATTTAGCAATTTCTTCCACTTGCTTCTTTCATCTTTCAAGCAATTTAATAATTCCATTCTCCCAGAATATTTTATCACTCTCAGCAAAGAACTGACAAGTTGCTTTTTGAAGTTTTCAAAAGAATTTAATTTCTTTTATTAAGAGAAATCTGGTAAGACCAGAATAAACGGTCATTCAAAAGTGCACAAAATTCTTTTATAAGAAATTCTAACTTCAAGACTAATTTCTTTCCCGAGAGACTGAAAAAAATACTAAAATCCCCAAACACCTTTCTTTAGTTTATGATGACAAACCAATATGTTAATAGTAGCAGAATTTAACAAATCATGCACTTAAATACCAAATACAAGAATAGTCACTTTCTAAAGGTTGTAATGTAGCTTCCCTGTGCCTTTTCTATAAAAACTTTCATTGGTAATTGTTTTGAAGAACTTTCTTCTATGGAACCTAAATTTTAGGAATTTAAGCACTTGTGGAACTCTCTTCCAGCTTCTTGATTCCAAGTAGACTTTGATCATCAAAAATGTAAATGCAATGTCAGTTATTATCTTCTACCATCTTAATTCTTGTTCTTTTGTTGTTCTCTCTCCTTAATAGTTTTTTTTCATATTTTCTAACACTCAGTAATCCCTAGTATCTTAGTGGCTTTATTGTCCTGTTTGGAGTGAAATGATTAAAATATATATATAATCAAGACACCATAATTGTCTGCTCTGGAATACTCAAAAGTTACTAATCACTCTGTGACCCATTTGTTGTTAAAAAAATCTATTGTAAACAAGACATTTGAAAAAAGTACACAAAACAATATTACAATCAGGTATAAGCCATTCTACACTAAATAATAAAATAATCTTTTTTTTCTAATTAACGTTCCTTGAATGTTTTTAGTAGAGGAAAGAAAGGTAGCAGTAAATTGAGGAATATCCATGTGTAACCTTGTGATGTACGATTTCTTTATACTGTATTTTCAGATCTCCATCATTCATAATTTCAAATAAAGAATAAACAGATGGAGATTTTTTGAACTACCCACAACAATGCTGAAATTCAAGTGCCTGATCCCTACATGCAAATACAAGACAGTTGGCCTGGATGTGACAATTGTAGCTGTGCTGATCACACATTTGATGATACATAAAGCAGCTACACCAGCCAAAGTGGAAAAAGTCAAATGACCCAGCACTACATCTGCTGATACCAGTGAAGATTGGACCTACTTTCTGTTCAGATGGGAAGATTATAAGGAGGCAACAAAGATTCTTGGCAAAGAACTAATTATTCATTTACTGGAGTACTATGATGGCACTTTGCATAAGCATCTTACACAAGCACAGAAATCAGAGGCTGAGGTACTTGTAGCATTTCGTCAGTTAACTGTATAAGAAGAGAATACAATGGTTGCACATGTGATGCTAAATAACATGTGTCAACATTGTGAGGAACCTGTTTGACAAGCTGTATGTATAAATTTGTTCTAACGTGGAAATAACTGTAATCATGAAATAACTTATACTGATACAATCTTATGTGGTGTTCATATTCATGGACTCCATGACCAGGAAATTCAACTTGACCTGGAACTGAAAACCAGAACATGACTTTAGATGTGGTCAAGTCTCCTGAAGCCAAAGAAGCTGGCAACAGCTTACTGGACTCACAGCTTACCAGTACATGCTTATATACAGTCCTTGTCTGGGGCTATTAATTGCCCGGAATATGACAATGGTCATGAAATACTATGACCAGTGAGAGCTCCAAGTGCATCATCTCCATTTGATTCATCATTACCAGCATTCACAGTTGATTCAGTGCCTCAGGAACAGCCAATGTTCCTCTAACAATGCAACAGCCAACAATGTCCACACCTACACCTGCAATTCCTCAATGTTCAACATGACCTTGTGTGAAATTGAAGTGACTACATGATTACGTGCCGTTAGTAATGGGGAAGAACAACTGTAAACAATGTTCATTATTTGATAAATGGGTGACTTTATTGAATACATCACCTTAGTTCACTATTCATTTTAAAATAGGTGTTTCATCAAAAGTTGAACTCTTGCAGGTTTTATAATAGAAAACCACATTTTTTGTTTTGTGTTGATAATAAAAAAAATTACATTCATGCCTCACTTATGATGGATACACAAACAATTGACAGGAAGTTTTGAACCATGAGACATTGTTGATTCTTTGAAAGAACTTATCAATGACTTGAGAGAGGATAGAGGAATATCCATGTGTAACCTCATGATGTATAATAAGGTTAATTATAATTTCTTTATACTGTATTTTCAGATCTCCATCATTCGTAATTTCAAATAAAAAATAAACAAAACAGTATTTTTGGTACTCATTTAATGAAGTGATGAAAGAAAAAGTGTAAAGAACTGAAGACAATTTTGTAACTCCTGAAAACTATATACAATAGCAGGAGCAAAGTAAATGCAACAACCATATGTAAAACCAGACTGGTAAGAAAATTCCAGAGAG